CGCTTGGTCGGCCTGTTGCAGTCTCCCTGGCTGACCCCTCTGGGGGTCCTGTCCTCGCTCACTTTTCCACTGTCCTCCCGTGTACGGCTGCCCCCTCGGGCACCCTGTCTGGCCTGTACCTCCCCTCGTTCTCGACGAACTTGGTGAGTGGTGCAGACCTGCAGGATGCGGGGGTTCACCAGTTCACTCCTGCGAGTCAGCGGGTGACCCACTGCACGGACGCACGCACAGGCCGGCACCTGGCCACGTTCTCGCGTCGGCCGGGGTCGAGCCTCTACACCCTGACCACTGAGTCTCCTCCTGTCCCTACGTCCGGTCAGGTAGCAGCGTCAGGTCAGGTGTTTGCTGCTGCGTCCCGGTCTGGTCCTGAGTCTGCCCCCTGCTCGTGTCGCCTCTTGTCTCACGAGACTCTCCTGTGGCACCACCGTCTTGGCCACCCCTCCTTGCCCCGTCTTCGGGGCATGGCTTCCCGTGTCCTTGTCTCTGGTCTTCCCCAGTCTCTCCCTCCCCTTCCTTCGGGACCAGGACCTTCCTGTGTCCCCTGTGTCGAGGGGCGCCTCAGGGCTGCTCCTCACTCCTCCCAGTTTCCCCCGACAGAGGCTCCTCTGCAGACACTTCACATGGACGTGTGGGGCCCGGCCCCCGTCCGTGGGCAGGGTCACGAGCGCTACTTCCTGTTGGTGGTTGACGACTACTCGCGTTACACCACAGTCTTCCCCTTGCGCAGCAAGGGTGCTGTCACTGAGGTGCTGATCGACTGGATCCGCGAGGCTCGTCTCCAGCTCAGGAGGAGCTTCGGCTCGGACTTTCCTGTTCTGCGTCTGCACTCTGACCGAGGTGGGGAGTTCTCCTCTCGCCTTCTGCGAGACTACTGTCGTGCACAGGGGATCCGCCAGACCTTTACGCTTCCGGACTCTCCACAGCAAAATGGGATTGCTGAGCGCCGCATTGGCATGGTCATGGATGTCGCTCGTACGTCCATGATGCATGCGGCTGCCCCCCATTTTCTGTGGCCGTTTGCGGTTCGGTACGCGGCGCATCAGCTCAACCTTCACCCCAGAGTCTCTCGGCCCGATATGTCCCCAGTGTTACCGTGGACGGGGAAGGTCGGCGATGCGTCTGCGTTCCGTGTCTGGGGATCTCGGGCGTTTGTCCGCGACTTGTCTACGGACAAGCTGTCCCCCCGTGCTGCTCCCTGTGTCTTCCTTGGCTTCCCCCCTGACGCTCCAGGGTGGCAGTTCTACCACCCCTCCTCTCGTCGTGTTTTGTCCTCCCAGGACGTCACGTTCGACGAGTCAGTCCCCTTCTACCGCCTCTTCCCCTACCGTACTCCTTCCCTCCCCCCCCCACCGGACTTCCTGGTGCCAGTTCCCCCCCCGGTAGACCCCCTCCCCCCTCAGGTTCCTGCCCCTTCAGGTGTGTCCCAGGTAGACACAGTCGAGCCAGTCGAGGTTGCTGCTGAGTCTGGTCCTGCTGCGGGTGCAGAGTCTGGGGGTGCTACGCCTGCGGGTGCTGAGCTTGGGGGTGCTGCTGCTGGGGGTGCTGAGCCTGGGGGTGCGAGGCCGGGGGGTGCTCAGCTTGGGGGTGCTGCTGCTGGGGGTGCTGAGCCGGGAGGTGCTACGTCAGGAGCTGCTGAGCCTGGGGGTGCTGAGCCTGGAGGTGCGGAGCCTGCGACTGCTGGACCTGGGGGCTCTCCGGTTGCTCCGTCTCGGCGGGAGCCGCTCTCTCCACAGGAGCTGCGCGAGTGGTTTGCTCGCCGCTGGAGGCGTGCTGCTGGAGCTGGAGCTCCTTCGACTGCTGAGGGTGCTGGTGCTGCCGGTCCCGGAGCTGCTGGGCCTGCGGGTCCTACTGGAGCTGGAGCTGCTGAGCCTGGGGGTGCTGAGTCTGGAGCTGCTGAGCCTGGGGGTGCTGAGTCTGGGGCTGCTGAGCCTGGGGGTGCTACGTCTGGAGCCGCTGAGCCTGGGGTTTCTCCTTGTGCTGCGTCTCGGCGGGAGCCCCTCTCTCCACAGGAGCTGCGCGAGTGGTTTGCTCGCCGCTGGAGGCGTACTGCTGGAGCTGGAGCTTCTTCGACCGTCGAGGGTACTGGTGCCGCCGGTCCCGGAGGTGCTACGCCTGCGGGTCCTACTGGAGCTGGGGCTGCTGAGGGCGTTGGTGCTGAGTCTCCTGCTGTCTGTCCTGACGGTGGTTCTGCTGCTGGTGCTGCTGGAGGTCCTGCCGCTGGAGGTGTTGGTGGCGCTGGTGCTGCCGCTGAGGGTGCTGGTGCTGTCCCTGCTGAGTCTGGAGCTGCCGCGCGGCCTCGGCCGTACTTCGTTCCGCTTCTGCAGCAGGTTCTTGGTCTTTCTCCTCCGGTAGAGTGTCCACAGCCTGTCCAGTCGCAGTCACTGTTGGAGCCTACCTCCCCACTGCCTGCTCCCTCTCCTTACACTGGTCCTACTGGAGGTCTTGCTGAGCGTCGTGAGCCTGCGTCTCGTCCCGCGTCGCCTGTTCGTGCTGCCCGCGCTAGTGGTCGTGGTTCGCGTTCGCGTCCTCCTCCTGTCCCTGGCACGCACCGGATGTCTCTGTGTCCGTCCACTGCTCCTCTGCGTGCCCTTTTGCCTTCTCCTCCTGAGTCCTCCCTTCCTGTGCTTACCGACCCAGAGTCGGACTCCCTTCGTGCTGCCAGTCCTACTGTCACGCGTCTGCTTGCTACTGTCGTCACTGACCCCTCTTTTGAGTCCGCTGCTGCGTCTGCTCTTGTCGCTGAGCTCGTCGACTTTGCTGCTCGCTGTCGTCTAGACTACGCTGCTAGTCTTGTTGCTGAGTCTGCGTCTGTCTGTCCTCCGTCCGTCGGGGGTGAGTGTGCTCTTGGCATGGACGTCCTAGAGGACAGGCAGGAGGAGTTCCAGTGTCTGGCTGCTGCTTCACCTCATCTCGCGTCTGTACTGCTTGCTCCTGAGGGAGACCCGGATGCACTAGACATCCCGACTCCGCGCTCTTACGCGGAGGCCGTAGAGGGTCCCTACTCCTCTCAGTGGCAGGCAGCTATGGATGCAGAGATGGCATCCTGGAAGTCCACAGGCACCTACGTTGTCGCGGTTCCCCCTCCTGGGGCGAACATCGTCAGTGGCATGTGGATCTTCAGGGTGAAGCGGCCGCCGGGCTCTCCACCTGTCTTCAAGGCGCGGTACGTCGCTCGTGGCTTCAGTCAGCGGCAGGGAGTTGACTACTTTCAGACCTTCTCTCCCACCCCGAAGATGACCAATCTTCGGGTGCTGCTGCACATAGCCGCTCAGCGCGACTACGAGCTTCACTCTCTCGACTTCAGTACTGCATTCTTGCAGGGGAGCCTACACGAGGAGATCTGGCTGCGCCGTCCACCTGGCTTCACTGGGACTTTCCCTCCTGGCACCCAGTGGAGCCTCCGACGGCCAGTCTACGGTCTCCGCCAGGCACCACGTGAGTGGCACGACACACTGAGGACTACACTTGCGGCCCTTGGGTTTGCTCCTTCTACTGCTGACCCGTCGCTGTTTCTGCGCACCGACACTCCACTGCCGCCGTTCTACATCCTCGTGTACGTCGACGACTTGGTCTTTGCCACAGCGGACACTGCTGGACTCGCCTACGTGAAGTCCGAGCTGCTGAAGAGACACACGTGCACAGACCTGGGTGAACTGCGCAGCTACCTTGGCTTGCAGATCACTCGGGACAGAGCACGCCGCACCATTACCTTGACTCAGTCACACATGGTGCAGCAGGTCCTTCAGCGCTTCGGCTTCACGTACTCCTCGCCTCAGGCCACTCCTCTGTCTACTCGCCACTCGCTCTCAGCTCTGCCTTCGGATGAGTCCGTAGAGTCGAGTGGCCCGTACCCAGAGCTTGTTGGCTGCCTCATGTACCTGATGACCTGCACACGACCTGACCTTGCATACCCTCTTAGCATTCTTGCACGCTATGTTGCTCCTGGGAGACACCGACCAGAGCACATGGCTGCAGCGAAGAGGGTATTGGGCTACTTGTGCAGTACGTCGGGCATGGGGCTAGTGCTTGGAGGGCGGAGTCCAGTGGTACTTACAGGTCACGCGGACGCTTCTTGGGCTGACGACCAGGCTACGCAGCGGTCGTCACAGGGTTACACCTTCAGCCTTGGCTCCGGCTCTGTCTCGTGGCGGGCTACTCGCTCGTTTTCGGTTCTCAGCTCGAGTTGTGAGGCTGAGATCTACGCAGGGGCCATGGCTGCACAGGAGCTTCGCTGGCTCACCTACCTGCTGACTGACCTTGGAGAGCCGCCTCGTTCTCCTCCAGTGCTGTACGTAGACAACAAGGCCATGCTGGCCTTGTGTCGAGAGCAGCGTCTGGAGCACAGAACGAAGCACATTGCTCTTCGCTACTTCCTTGCTCGTGAGCTACAGCAGCGTGGACAGTTGCGGCTTGCGTACGTGGCCTCTGAGGCCAACACTGCTGATGTGTTTACAAAGGCACTCGCGCCTTGTGACCATCAGCGCTTCTGCACCCAGCTGGGTCTTGTGCCTGTCTTGCCTCACTTGCTCTCCTCTTGACTTTACTTGTACTGTCACATATATATACCTGCTCTTGCTTGTCTAGCTTTATATATATATGTGTGTACTCCTGCATGTGAACTGGCCTTGTGGCCTTGCTCTTGTGCTCGGACTGTGTGGTGACTTTGTGATCCACCCTGAGCTTTGCTTTGCTTTGCTTGACTGGTCTTGTGACCCCTTGTTCTCCCCCACTTTGCCTATGGGGGTGTGTCAGAACATATATGTAGCTTATGCTGTTGTGTAGGCTACAGTGGGGTATACCATAGGGGGTACAACCCAATTAGGGTTTTGCTATTTGTACTCACTTCACTCATATTTCATTCATTCTCGCTCTATTCTCCACAATTGGGACGGGATTGGCTACAGCGATTCAATCCGACGATCAACTTGACGATGGGGGTGATCACGGTGCTGTGCAAAAAGGGTCGCGTGACACTTCCGAAATGGGCGAAGCCGGAGCCGATGACTGTCAAATGGTATATCTGCTACATTCTGTTTAGGCTGTAGTGGGGTAGTTACTATGGGGTACCATACGTTTAGGGTTTCCTACTTGTACCTAACTATTTCCTAGTGCAAACACTTCTCTCATTCTGACATGGTATTACGAGCCTAGGTTATGAACCTAGGACCACTTACCTAAGGGCCCACCGTTCCGCTAGAGGCGCCCTCGTGCGCCCCCAAACGTCTTAGCGCCCTCGTGCGCCTCTCTCCTAGTGCGCCCTCGCGCGCCTCTTTCTCACGCTGCCCGTTTGCAGCCCGTTAGAAGCCCAAACGCGGCCCCACGTTCTTAGCGCGAGTAGCCCGCTAGCCGCCAGGGCGGCCCGGATTTCTCGCGCCACCAGTAGGCCGTCGCCCGTCGGCCCCGCTCGCCCCTAGGCCAACACTCAGCCCACTGCTGCCCGTCCCCAGGCCGCAGCCCGTGCGCAAAGGCGATCGCGCATCGGGTGCTGCAGCTCGCGCTTAGTCGCCGCACGAATGCAGCCCGCGCGCAGCCGCACCCTAGGCGCCGCCGCGCACTGTACATAGGCCCGCCGTCGCGCCGCCCTACCTGCCCAAGCCGCGCCGCGCCGTCCTGCCTGAGCCGCGCCGCCCTTACCGAGCCGAGCCGCGCCGAGCTGCTCCTGTTCCTGCTGTTACAGCTGTTCTTACTGCTATAGCTGCTACTGCTACTGCTGTTACTGCTACTACTACTACTGCTACTGCTACTACTGCTACTGCTGCCACCATGGCCAGTCCTACCGTTCTCACTTTTGACGCTGAGGGCCGTCCGATTAAGTTTGACGTTTGGCTCGATGACCTGCACCTGTTCCTCCAGATCACTGCCAAGGACGATGTTTCCCTGTTTGACCACACGTCCGGCGCCGCTCCTGCACCTGCTGCTACTGCTGACAGCACTGCCCGGTCACAGTGGCAGACCCGTGATGCTCATGCTCGCCTAGCAGTTCGCAGCCACCTGCCGTTAGATGAGCGCGAGCACTTTGGCCAGCATAAGATCGCTAAGGAGCTGTACAATGCTGTAGTTGCACGCTACTCCTCCCCTGCTACTGCTGCGATAGGCCGTCTCTCACTGCCCTATCTCTTCCCCAATCTGTCTGCCTTTGGCACTGTAGCTGACCTCATCACGCACCTCCGTACTAGTGATCTTTGCTACCGTGCTGCGCTTCCCCCCGATTTCCTAGCCAAGAACCCTCCCCCGATGTACCTCACACTCTACCACCTAATCACCCGCCTCCCTGACTCTCGTCGCACTGTCAGGGACCACTTTCTCGCCCTCTCCCCCACCGACCTCACTGTCGACCTGCTTGAGAAGGAACTCCTAGCAGCTGAGAAGAGCATTGTAGCTGTAGGTGCCTCTCGTGGCGACCCTCGAACTCCCTTCTTTGAGGGGTGCTCCCCCGTCCCCCTCCTCCCCTCCATTGCATCTGCTACTGCTGTCAACTACCTCGGTGCTGAGGGGGTCGGGGCTGCGTCTTCTCCTAGTGGAAGGTGCAAGGGTGGCAGGGGCAAGGGGGGCAGGGGTGGTGGAGGTGGCGGCGGGGGCGGCGGTGGTGGAGGGGGTGGAGGGGGCGGGGGTGGTGGCGGTGGTGGGAGTGGTGCTGGTGTTGGGGGGTTCAATGGCGGAGCCGGGGGTGGTGGCGGTGGCGGTGGCGGGGGTGGTGGTGGCAGTGGTGGCGGCAGTGGAGCTGGTGGCGGGTGCGGTGGAGCGGTGCAGCGTGGGGGGATCGGCAGTGGCCAGAGGCAGCAGCAGCAGCGTCCCAGCGAGACCTCGTCGCCCTAGCAGCTCCGTGAGTGGTACTCTCAGCGTGGGGGGTCTGGGGGTGGGGGTTCTTGCCCGTACGTCATCCGCACAGGTGACCGCACTGGCCAGACCTGTGGGAGGTTTCACACGGCGCAGCGCTGCTTCTTTCGTCTCGACTACGCCTGGCGCGAGCAGTTCCCTGATGCCTCTGAGCTGCCCGCAAGGCTGATCTGCTTAAAAAGAACGTTGATATCTTTGCTCTTGATTTTGATGTTATCTTTGGTGCTATGTATGCATTGACTATTAGTGTTGAGGGTGACTGTTACCTGCGTGTACCGCCCGACCCGGGTATTGGGACCAGTGAGGCTGCCGCTCTAGGTGCTAGTGCGTCTGCTGCCCTAGGTCCTGGTGAGGCTGTTGCTCTCGGTGCTAGTGAGTCTGCTGCTCTAGGTGCTCGTGCATCTGCGCCTGCTGGTACTGCGTCTACAGAGGCACTACACACCTTCACACTGGACTCGGGTGCTTCCCGCTGTTTCTTTCGTAACCGCACTGTCCTTGAGCAGCTAGCTCGGCCTGTTGCTGTCTCCCTCGCCGACCCCTCTGGGGGCCCGGTCCTTGCGACCTCCTCCACTGTCCTCCCTTGTCCTGCGGTTCCGGCCGGCACCCTGTCGGGTCTTTACCTCCCCTCATTCTCTACGAACTTGGTGACGGCCTCTGCTCTCTAGGATGGGGGTGTTCACCAGTTCACCCCTGCCTATGAGCGTGTGACCCACTGTACGTGTGCTCGGACGGGTCGCCACCTGGCTAACTTCACTCGGCAGCGGGGGGTCGGACCTGTACACACTGACCACTGAGTCCCCTCAGGTAGCTGCGTCCGCGTCTACGTCAGGTCAGCTGTCAGCCCCCTGCTAGTGTCGCACCCTGACGCACCAGACCGTCCTCTGGCACCACCGCCTTGGCCACCCCTAAGTGCAGCGCCTTCGTGGCATGCACTCCCGGTACCTTGTCTCTGGTCTTCCCAGGGTTCTCCCTCCCCTCCCACCCTCGCCTGCTCCTCCCTGTCTTCCTTGTGTCGAGGGGCGGCAGCACGCCACTCCTCACTCCTCCTCGTTCCCTCCCACAGAGGCTCCCTTGCAGACGCTCCACCTGGACGTGTGGGGCCCAGCCCGCGTCCGTGGACAGGGCCACGAGCGGTACTTCCTGCTGGTCGTCGACGACTACACGCGCTACATCACGGTCTTCCCCTTGCGCACCAAGGGTGAGGTCAATGATGTTTTGATCCCCTGGATCCGCGCTGCTCGTCTCCAGCTCCGCGAGCGGTTCCATTCGGACTTTCCCATCCTGCGTCTGCACTCTGACAGGGGTGGTGAGTTTTCCTCCAACCTCTTGGCAGCCTACTGTGCGGAGCACGGCATCCGCCAAACGTTCACACTTCCGGCCTCTCCACAGCAGAATGGGGTTGCTGAGTGCCGCATTGGCTTAGTCATGGAGGTCGCTCGTACTTCCATGATCCATGCGGCTGCCCCCCATTTCCTGTGGCCGTTTGCAGTGCAGTACGCTGCGCATCAGCTCAACCTCTGGCCCCGTGTCTCTGTTCCGGAGACCTCGCCCACACTGCGCTGGACGGGGGAGGTTGGTGATGCGTCTGTGTTCAGGGTCTAGGGATGTCGAGCCTTTATCCGCGATACGTCCGCGGACAAGCTCTCCTCCCGTGCCGTTCCCTGTGTCTTCCTTGGCTTTGTCTCTGACGCGCCTGGCTGGCAGTTTTACCACCCCACCTCACGCCGTGTCTTCCCCTCTCAGGACGTCACTTTTGACGAGCCGGTACCCTTTTACCGTCTGTTCCCCTACCGCACTGCGCCGCTTCCCCCCCACCTCTCTTCCTCACCCCAGGTGTCCCTTCAGTAGACCCCCTCCCTCCCCAGGGTGCTGCTCCCTCAGGTGTTTCCCAGGTAGACCCGGTCGAGCCTATTGAGGTAGCTGTCGACTCTGGTCCTGAGACTAGGGATGCTGAGACTGGGGGTGCTGAGCCTGGGGGTGCTGAGCCTGGGGGTGTTGAGACTTGGGGTGCTGAGACTGGGGGTGCTGAGCCTGGGGGAGCTGAGACTGACTGTGATGCGCCTGGTGGCGCTCCCTCTTCACAGCAGCTGCTTTAGTGGTACTCTCAGCGTAGCACCCTCCGGCGTGGGGCTGCTAGAGCTGGGGGTTCTGCCGGAGTTGGAGCTGGTGGTGCTGCGGGTGCTGTGTCGCGGCCGGAGCCTCCCTCCCCACAGCGCCTGCGTGAGTGGTACGCTCGGCACTGCAGCCTCCGGAGTGGCGCTCCTAGCACTTGGGTGTCGCTCGCTGGAGGCCCTGGTTCTGGTGGAGGTGCTGGAGCCTCTGGTCCTGGAGGTGCTCGTACAGGCGGTACTGGAGCCGCCGGTACTAGACTGGGGGTTCTAGTGGAGATGGGGCTGGAGCTGCTGGAGCTGGTGCTACTGGAGGTACTGGTGGTGTTGGAGCTGCTGGAGGTACTGCTGGTGCTAAAGCTGGAGGTGCTGGAGCTACTGGAGCTGCCGGTGGAGCTGAAGACGTTAGGCCTACTAGAGTTGGTGTAGCTCCTGACCCTGGGGTTGGTGTTGCAGGGGCTGGAGCAAGAGGTGTTGACGCTCGTCCTCCTGCAGGTGCTGGAGCCGACATTGCGGCTAGAGCTGGCGCTACTGAGGGTACTTATCGACTTTGCTGCTCGCTGTCGTCTAGACTACGCCGCGAGTCTTGTTGCTGAGTCTGAGCCGTTCTGTCCTCCGTCCGTCGGGGGTGAGTGTGCTCTTGGCACGGACGTCCTTGAGCACAGGCAAGAGGAGTTTGAGTGCTTTGCTGCTGCTGTACCTCATCTCGTGTCCATGCTGATTGCACCTGAGGGAGACCCGGATGCACCAGACATCCCGACCCCGCGCTCTTACGCTAAGGCGATCGCGGGTGAGTACTCCTCTTAGTGACAGGCAGCCATGGACACAGAGATGGCATCCTGGAAGTCCACCGGCACTTACATCGACGAGTTTCCCCCTCCTGGGGCGAACATCATCAGTGGCATGTGGATTTTCAGGGTGAAGCGGCCGCCAGGTTCTCTGCCTGTCTTCAAGGCTCGTTACGTTGCTTGAGGCTTCAGTCAGCGAGAGGGAGTAGACTTCTTCCAGACCTTCTCTCCCACCCCAAAGATGACCACTCTTTGGGTGCTACTGCACGTTGCCGCTCAGCGTGACTACGAGCTTCACTCTCTTGACTTCAGCACAGCTTTCTTGCAAGGCAGCCTACACGAGGAGATCTGGCTGCGCCGCCCTCCTGGCTTCACTGGGTCGTTCCATCCTGATACCCAATGGAGCCTCCGGCGGCCGGTCTACAGTCTCCGCCAGGCGCCACGTGAGTGGCATGACACACTGAGGACTACACTTGCGGCTCTTGGGTTCGCGCCTTCTACTCCTGACCCGTCGCTGTTTCTGCGCACCGACACTTCGCTGCCGCCGTTCTTCATCCTCGTGTACGTCGACGACTTGGTCTTTGCCACTGCTGACACTGAGGCTCTCGCCCTGGTGAAGTCGGAGTTGCAGAAGAGACACACGTGCACAGACCTGGGTGAGCTGCGTAGCTACCTTGGCTTGCAGATCACCCGGGACAGAGCACGCCGCACCATCACAGTGACTCAGTCACACATGGTGCAGCAGGTCCTTCAGCGTTTCGGCTTCACCTGGTCCTCGGCACAGGCCACTCCTCTGGCTACAGGTCACTCGCTCTCAGCTCCACCTTCGGACGAGTCCGTAGAGCCAAGTGGTCCGTAGAGGGTACTGCGCTACTTGTGCAGTACATCAGGCATGGGGCTCGTGCTTGGAGGGAGGAGCTCAGTTGTCCTCACTGGGCACTCAGACGCTTCTTGGGTTGACAACCAGGCTACTCAGCGGTCGTCACAGGGTTACACCTTCAGTCTTGGCTCTGGTTCAGTTTCTTGGCGTTCTACACGATCGTCTTCAGTTCTTAGCTTCAGTTGTGAGGCTGAGATCTACGCCACAGCCATGGCTGCACAGGAGTTACGCTGGCTCACCTACCTGCTGACCGACTTGGGAGAGCGGCCTCGTTCTCCACCGGTGCTGTACGTCGACAACAAGGCTGCCATTGCCTTGTGTGAGGAGCACAGACTGGAGCACAGAATGAAGCACATCGCTCTGCGTTACTTCCTGGCTCGAGAGTTGCAGCAGCGTGGTCAGCTTTGTCTACGTTACGTGGCCACTCGGGCCAACACTGCTGATATATTCACCAAGGCACTTCAGTCTGGTGATCATCAGCGTTTCTGCACTGTGCTTGGGCTTGTGCCCACTTTTCCTCACTTGCTGTAGGCTTTCCTTGTACTGTGATATATATATATATACCTGCTTGCTTGCTTTGCTAGGTGGAGATCACTGTGATGTTTGTGTTACATATATGCCTCTGCATGTGAACTGGCCTTGTGGCCCTTTGCTTGTGCTTAGTGAGTGTGGTGACGTTGTGATCCACCCTGAGCTTGCTTTGCCTTTCTTGACTGGTCTTGTGACCCCTTGCTCTCCCCCAATTTGCCTATGGGGGTGTGTCAAATGTTATATCTGCTACAGTTTGTTTAGGCCCCCCCTCTTCCCCCTTCCTTTCCCTTCCTGCTCCCCTTCCCCCATGACCAGGTGGGCCTATCACGTGCCATTTGCCTGGGCTAGGGCCGGTCCATGCGAATCCACACGTCTCTGACTTTCCCCGTGCAGATCGACGGGGAGCCATGGCTGCAGGCGCCTGCCACCATCCACATCGCTCACCACTCCCAGGTACCGACTCGACTCCCTCCGCCCTGCACTCCTTAGGCACTTCTGCCTTCCCCATCCCTCAACCTCTAGCCTCTGGGCGCCTCAAAAGCATTCCCCTGGCCACATGCCCCTGCCACCATTCACATCGCCCACCACTCCCAGGTACCGACTCCCTCCATGCTCGTGCATTCCCGTGCTTACCCATCCTCGCCCCTCCTTGTTCATCCTCGCCCCTCCTTG